AGACCCTTCACTGGGGGACCCCCCCACCCCCGTCAGACCTGCCCCAGCGCCCCTCACTGGGGGACCCCCACCCCCGTCAGACCTGCCCCAGCCCCCCTCATTGGGGGACTCCCCACCCCGTCAGACCTGCCCCAGCGCCCCTAATTAGGGGACCTCCACCCCTGTCAGACCTGCCCCAGTGCCTCTCATTGCAAGGACAAACCAGACCCCACCCCATCAGACCTGCCCCAGACCCTTCACTGGGGGACCCCCACCCCGTCAGACCTACCCCAGCGCCCCTCACTGGGGGAATTCCCCTCCCCTGTCAGACCTGCCCCCAGACCCCTCACTGGGGGGACTCCCCACTCTTGTCATAACTGCCCCAGTTCCCCTCATTGTGAGGAGACATGCCTCCCCTTTCAGACCTGACCTGGGTACCTCTCCTTGGGGGAGATTACTATCAGGCCTGCCCCAAGAAGGTGACTACCTTTGTTGGATAGAAATAGGGAGAAACCACATGAAAAATACAGGACAACGCTTAATTTTAAGGGACATCTTAGGGAAACACCATTTTCCTCAGCATAGCATGTATTTTTCTCTGAAGTGTACATTCGTACTGCCTTCAAGTATACAATGCAATTATCATAAGCTTCAATATAATGTTTAAAATGGTCAAGGGATGTCCCTTAAAATCAAGTCAAGGGATTTCCCTGAAAAGGGGCAAATTCAATGAAATAAGGACCAGTTCTTTAAAATAAGGGGATGGATGGTCACCCTATACCCCAGTGCCCCTCAGTGGAGGAAGACGTATACACCGCAGTCAGACCCACTCTCAGTGCCTGTCAGTAGGGAACACACATACACACCATCTGACCTGTTATCACTGTCTCTTTCTGGGGAGTCTCCAACAGTCAGAACTGTCCCCACTGCCTCTCTTTGGGGAAAGAGACCCCAGTCAGAAGTGCTTTAATTAGGGGAGAGACTTCACTCAGCCAAACTTAGCCCCTGAGCCCATCCCAACATGGGGCACTGGGAGTAGGTCTGATTAAGGTGGTGTTTCCCCCAAATGAAAACATCCCATTGACTTCAAACTGCCTTTCATCTTGAAGGATCCTCTGATATCAAGGTCTCATAGTTTTGGTTCTCAGCATTTCTCTCTGATCACTACATGACTCCTTGTTCTTCTTCTTGTTATTTATTATCGTTACAGCTGCGCTCAGGTTCTTATATATACATAGGAAAAGCCTGTCCCTGCCCCCAAAGAGTTTATAATCTAAAACAAACTGCATCAAGTAGGTGGAACAAACAAATGGAATGTGAGAAAGAAGGGCAAGAGTAACAATGATACGAACACGGGGTTCCTTGGACTATCTATGTCCTTTATTTCCTTGTTTTTGAGTCAAAGATTTTTGTTGTTTCAAGTTTTAAGCTATAATAAACAAGAAAGACTCTACTGGTCACCTTCTTCTTTGACTGCTTTGAATGCTACTGATCTGGATATAGCTTTCTCTTACAATATCACCAGATTAAATGAAAAGGTGATAGAAGGAGTGGCCAAACCACTACATGTGTCCTGAATGTACTGGTACAAGGAAGGGCAGGGGAAGCTCTAAAAAAAATGTTAGATCATGTTTACAGCTGCCAAATGTGGTGTCTTACGGGACCAGATGGATGTCATTCTGGATGTGTTAAAACCGGAGAGGAAATCTGTACTCTGGTGGCAGTCACCATAGAGATCTGATATATGCTCCCAGAGGACCAAAAGCAAATAGACATGGAAGTGCTATAATGAAAGAAGATACAAATAGTTGGGCAAATTTAGGAACCCAGCATCCTGGTGTTATCTCAAAACTCTGTAAGAGCTAAATAAGACTAAGGTTCAGACCCAGATAATATCTCTATCACTTTTTAAAACCCATGAGGTAAGTAAAAAAAAAACCCAGTGTAAAGATAGATTTACTAAGATTTATTAAAATTAAACAAATTAACAAAGGCAACAGAATAATAGCTCAGAGGTTTGACCCAAAAGGGCATAAGGCCTGGCTCCCTTCTGCCCTTAGCAAGCTACGGGAACTCATTTATTTGCAGAAGATGACCTTCACTGGCAACTCGGACTGAAAGGCAGACAGCTAGTCATGACTGCAGACTACTGCGGTGGTTGCTGGATTCTGGACCTGTAACTGCCTTAGATGGGATTACAAGAGAGACACAGACTGAAGCTGGATCGGGATACCTACCTGAAGACCATCGCAGGGTCTCTCTCTCATGCATGGAAGAACTAGGCATGGGCTGCCTCTGTGGTGGACAGCCCCTGGTGCTGAACGTGCTGGCCTTAAATAGACTTGGGCATGTGACCTTTTCCCGCACTTTTCTTCCCGCCATTGGGAGAAAAGGTGTCAAAATCTCAACCAAAAGGACCCATAAAATGGAGTCCAAACAGCAACTTGACCATGACCATTGACCCATAAGTTTCACAAAACAGTACATAAAAAGCACAGTATATAAATCAGAACAATACATAAACTCTAATAAACGCTACATTTCCCCTCCTAGATGGTAAGAGGAGATACACCCTCTTTGCTGTCACAACCCAACCACTCTGATTTCATACATAATGACATTTATACCAACTTAAATGGAACAATGAATTTGTTGGACTTCACTCGTTTCTTAATCCAGACAGTTAAACATACCAGATACACCTCTATCCCGATATAACGCTGTCCTCGGGAGCCAAAAAATCTTACCGCATTATAGGTGAAACCGCGTTATATCGAACTTGCTTTGATCCACCGGAGTGCGCAGCCCCACCCCCCCCGGAGCTCTGCTTTACCGCGTTATATCCGAATTCGTGTTATATCAGGTCGCGTTATATCGGGGTAGAGGTGTATATAATAATGACCATTTTAACAATCAAAACCACTACAACAGGGTGCAATAATATATGCCATACTTCATTATAATCAACAGACCCTCCAAATAGGTTTTCCCACCAGTGATTTGATGCAGTATCACTTCTGAATTCTTTTAAGAACTCATTTGTTTTGGTCTGAGGCATGATGTGCTGCAAACATGACCTCTTTTCCTTCCCTTTGAATTTGTCTTAAGTGGTATTTCATTTCTGGATGGTGCATAAGATGTTTTAAGGCTGATATATTCATTCCTAAGTGAAATGGTTCAAGATGTTCATATAGGAGGCAATGTGTCTGTATGGTTTGCATGGTTACTTTGGGTAGAGTGAAATTCACGTCACATCCCACTATGGAAAATATTGAAAATAGACAGATGTTTATGAATGGGTTGTGGGGAATTTTGTGGTAAACATTAACAATGAATTCACGGCCCCAATTGCGAATACAAATACTATTGTCATCCACTAACACCATAGTGGAATGATTAAAATCAGACAGATGCATTTTATAATGGCATTTACCCTCCTTTGAATTAAGAGAGACATGAGAAATCTCGATGACTTCTGAGCTACATGTATATCCCAGACCCTTTTCCTTAATGCATGACTGCAGGTTAACAGCATGGTATTCACTATCCTTCTGATGGACCCATTTGCTGAGTTCCACTGGGAGCAATACAGAGTGATTAACATTTAGACCTAAGGGCACTAATGGGTACACCCATTCCTCCTGTGCTTCCTTCAAAGTCAGGATATAGGCAATAATGGTATGGTTACTGTGCACATAAGAGAAATTAACCATTCTCCATCAGCCCTGATG